TATGAAATGCAAATTCATTGAACATGCAAATACCCACCCTGGGCATTGGTGCAGTGAGCAAAGCAAAGACACGCTTGGCACAAAATGCTCATACTGAAGTTTTTCTTGGGCTCCTGGGGGATTCAGCAGCAGGGATCCCAAAAAAGGTTGAGGGTTCAAAGAAAATGGACATCATGTGCTCATCCTTCTGACTCCAAGCACAGGCCCATGGCCAGAAGCCCAAGGATGCTGGCTGACTAGAGCCGTACAGGCTCACAAAATTAGAAGCAGGAGGCCTGTAAGTCTGGTTCAGTGGTTCAGTGGGATGCATAGGCGGGGACCAGTGGGATGGGTGAAGCAGGCGAGTGGGAGAGTTCAACAGCGAACATGGTGGGCTGTAATTAAGGGAAGCATAACTCAGCTCTAGCCAACTGGTGCTTTGTGGGTATCCGGGAATCTGCTTTGTGACTCCAAACAAAATAAGCCGGAAATCCATATTTTATGTGTAATCTTATGATCTTAAAATATTGGCCACAAATTCCATTTAAAAATGAAAAACTTTGGGAAATGCAGAACTTGTCTGTGGGATGCGTGTTGCCTGTAATGTGTCATTTTGAGACTTTTATGAGAGACGATTCATTAGAAGCCAGAGATCAATCCAGCTCCTCATGCCAATACATTGTGCTTCTTCTCTTAAAATGAGTGCAGTAGGATGGAGTGTGGGACAGAAAAATAATCGGGGGTTACTTCAGGAGTCAACTCAGTGATGGGTGCGCCCCTCCAGCCAGCACACACAGGAAGCGGTGACCTCAGGAGGATCCTGCTGGGATCCAAAGGAAGATGACTGAAGTGTTTAATCCTGACTGAGAACTTGATGGGACATGGTCTTTTGTACTCAGAATACTCACAGTGTGGACAGTAGCTTTGCCTGTCTGACTGCTTCTTGCATGTCCCTCCCCTGTATCTACCATGTTCCAAGCATGACAGCCTTCAACAACTCCCTCAGACCCCCCAAAGTCAGCTCGGCACCACTGTTCAGCTTTGCCCCCCGATCTGTCTCCTGCCTTGGAAACTGCATCACCCTCGCCCCCACGTGCTCTCTTCTGACTTTTCAGTGTCAGCTTCCAAGTTTTCAGCTGAGACAACTTTACTCTGACCATTGCGGCTAACACAGGTCTCCACACCCATTCGAACGATTTTATGTTCTTCAAATCCGTTTCGCCCATTTGATTTTATTCATTTACTACTACCGATGGTAGCTATCATTACTGATTTACATAATTAGCTCCCACTAGAATGAAAGTTCCAACAACATGAGGGCAGGGTCTTCCTCTTTCTCCTCCACTGCTAAATCCCCAGCATCCAAATAGTGCCTGGCATTTAGTTAAGTGCTCAGTGAAGGCAATGATCAATAATAATAAATACAATATTGAGCTTGTCATGTGTGAAGTGCGGCACTAATCACTTTACAGCCTTAACTCACTTATTTATCTCAACAATTCTATGAGGTAAGTGCTATTATTATCCCAATTTTAAAGATGATAAAAGCGAGGCACAGAGAGATTAAGTTTACGCCGCCAGTAAATGCTGGTGCTGGGATCTGCATCCGGGAAGTCTGGCTCTTGGTTCATGACTTTTCTGCCTAGGGAGGGGCCAGGTAGAACTCAAATTGGGGCTGTGGGTGGGGCGAGGGGTGTCTGTGGAAAAGAAGTCTGAACACTTGAGCGCCAGTCTCGGCTCTAAATACAGAGACGCTTCCTTTCATCTTTTCCGTGTGTGTGTGAGCAGCAAGCTGGTACCACTCCGAAAAATACATCGCCTAGTTGTGAGCCTCTTCCTAGAGGCACATTCCCACAAGCATAATCATTGCCTCTGATCATGTGTTTCTGCTGTTGATTAGCAGGAGAAAGCCGTGAGGCCATGTCTGCAACATCCCTATCTGTTCAGGGATGCTTGTGACGAATCAAAACATTATTCTTTAAACAAATGAAGCAGTAAGCAGCAGGAGTTGAGTTATGAAGGACAATATTCAGGGGATGTTTAGACACATGATTAAGTGGCAATTTGGGGGCTAGAAAAAGGAGATCATGGACATCTGAGGAGGTGAGTGTGTGTGAACATCGTGGTGTTGCTTGTAAGCGAATGACTGGGATGGAAGCTTACCTCTGGTTCCTGCTGCTTGGAGTCTCAATTTCCCAATTTACATTCCTGCCAACCTTTTCAAATCCTTCTAATTACTGCCTTGGTTCCTGACTAGTCTCCTGGTTTTTCATAAATTAGGGTTGGGGTGGAATGCAAAGAAATCACAGGTAACATTTTTGTCAGAAGGCCCGATTCAACTGGGTCTGCTGAGCCAGACCCAATGCAAGACGTCACCGTGGAACTTGTTCATCCCAGACAAGGAAAACCAGGCCTGGAACCATCGGATAGGCGTTTTGACTAATGATCTGAAAAGTCACTGTCAGTGCAACAGTTAAATACGTCTTGCTTCAGGTTTATTCACATTATTGTCCGAAAGATCAGTCACTGTGGCTGAAGTGCCTTGCACAGTTCTGGGCCCTCAATAAATGAAGCTGATGGTGATTACAATGACTGTTACTAGATTCCTGATACTCTTCTTTCCCAGGCTGGAATTCAGAAGGAATGCTTCGGGGCAGACCGGTCGCATCCACATGTGTCTTAGCTCCTCTCTCCCAGACACTTCAGTTTGCATTTCAAAGGAGATTAGAGATGGCTTCTTAAAAATTTCAAACCAACCCACTTCGATTTCTCATCTGAGTTTCCAAGAACTGACTCACTGGTGGTGCTATAGACGGACAGAGGTGTAGCTCAGATCCAGAGGGGCCCCCTACCCCCACCCCATGGCCACCCAGTGCCCCTCCGGTTGTATAGGGGTGAAGTTCTTTGCTGCTTAAAATCCATTTTATGGGCTTACTGGTATGAGGGGCTGGCTTCACGGGCGTGTGGCCTGTGCGGTCACCCATGGTCCATGCTCAGAAGGGCCCCTCACTTGGCTTAAAGCTCTGCAGTCATCATTTTGAAATTCTTAATAACGTATGAAAAAGTGGCCTTGCTAATTATATAGCTGCCTGGAATATCCTGCATGTCTGATATGTAGAAACATAAATAATTGTATAAGTTTGGATTTTATAAAATGTTAATAGAGTATTTTGGAGTTCTTGGGGGAAAAAAAAAGCCACTGTACCCAGTTTCACCATCTTTTAGTGAGACCAGTCTTCTGGATTCTCTCTAATTAGGATCAGAAGTAAAATGAAATTTCTAAAGAGATGAATTACAGAAATCCATTGGAAACTGAAGACCAGTACAGACAATTTGGCCCTGTATGAGCACATCCTGTAGCTTTCGTCATTCCTTCTGGCTTGCTTAAGGAGTTTCCACAAACTGAGCCCAACATCACCAGCAGGTAGAGAGGTTAGGCCCAGAACCATCAGGCCATCAGAAAAAAATCACAAGTCCTGGGAAACCGAGAGCGCCTTCTCTAGTGACCTTTTTCTCTCCTTCTTGGCTTTGGAAAGCAAAGGTCTGGCATGACGCCTAGTCAACCTTAATTCAGATGAATATTGTTTCATAATTATTTTTAAATCCATAATTCTAATTTTTAAAATAAGATATGCTTGCAGCTGGACCACATTCAGGAATATAGAATAACCTAAATTAGTCTTAAAAAGCTTTGTTTTTTCTTTCCTCAAATAGGGGTTCTTCTGGGATTAGCTTTAACGAATAGAGAAGAATAATGCATAATTAGCATATCAGTTGTTTAACACATTCAGGAGAATAGCCTTCTTAAGCACTTTAAGAAATGTATGTATATAAAAAAAAAAAAAGAAATGTATGTATATAAAAACTCTCGGAGCTATGTTTATGGTTTTAATGTGTTCAATAAAACTCCTGTTCATGGATTCCTCAAAGGTCAGTTTTTATCCAGCTTATGTCTGTATTTTCATAAATTGTGAATTTGAGAATTCCAAAATAAAGAGGCTTTTCTCTATAATAAATAAAGACACTCAGTGGGAACACTTCACAATCCCCACTTGTAACCCATTCTACTGTCTGCTTTTGCCTTTCGCAATTCAAGAGAGCTCCATGAACTGGGGCCTACTTTTTAATACGTTACTTGTTTTTGGTCTCAAAAGTGAAAAAAACAATGCCTTGATTGTTTGGTGCATATCAAGTTATAAAAGAAACCAATGATGCTTTTGACCCCTAAGACAGCCCACCCTCCTCTCTCTGCTACTACTTCATTCCCTCCCAGCAGCAGAGAACTGGCCAGACCTGACCCTCGTGCATGGTCCTCTCCCAGGCCTTACATTTCAGTGGCAAGCAGTGACCTAGGAGTCACCCTCGACACTTTGTCCTCTTCCATATTCTGCTCATATTCAATCTATCCCCAAGCCCTATCAATCTTCCTGACCAACACCACTCAGATGCACCCATCTCCCTCTAGCTCTGCCAGCTCTATCCTTATCCAAACTTTGATAGCCCCAAATTCAGATTTCCTGCTGCCATCTTGCCTCCTGAGCCATCCTCCACACACCAGCCAAGACAATCCTCTTAAAACATAAACCAGATCACATGACTTGCCAGCTTAAAACCATCCTTCAAGGTCTCCTCATTGACCTTAAGAAAAAAACCAAAGCCATGACAATGGGTTTCTTGGTCTTATAGGCCCAACCTTGCCTCATCCTCTCCTCTTCCTCTCTCACTGTGGCCCAGCTACAAAGGCTTTCTTTGGCCTCCTTAGATTGCCAGTTTCCTTCACCACCAGGCCTTTGCATTTGCTTTCCTTCTTTGAGGGGGATATTCTTCCCCACAAAATCTCCCCTCTTCCTGATCTTCCTCACACTTTCAAGAATTCATAATCAAACGTTTATTTGTACAACAGTTTGGTATCCCCTTCTAGAGTGCAAGCTTTGTGTGGTCATGCTCTCCCCAGCTCCAGTCCTGGGCCATTGATGTTGGAGGTTGGAGGTGCTCTACTCCCATATCCCGCACCCACTCACCGCGCTCATGAGCGAGTCCAGGACACTGACTGCAAATGCTGTCCCACATGCAAATGGCTGCGTGAGGTACAGTTCTGTGTCAGGATCATCATCATCGTCTTGGTCCAAAAACTGAACGTTAGTATCATTCACTAGAAAAAGTGTAAAATGAGAATTAGCTCAAAAGACCACACACGGACAGTGAAGCCAGAGAAAGAGCAGGCTACTGATTTAGCAACACTGAAGTCACTGAAAAGGAGAGAAAAGCATGGGAGAAGCTGTAGATGAATCTTGGGGTGGGCGCCAGTGGACTCAATGGACCGCTCTTATGTGATTGTTCAAGCTTCCCAGGCCTGGTGAGCAATGAGTTCAAGCAGCCTTGATCCATGGCAGACCACTGGAGAATGGCTGGACAGTGCTGGTCAGTCCTTTGGTATAGTTTTAGAATCATGACCGAAAAGCACTTCAGGGTGCTTTTCGGTCGCCAAGTCCTTTGAGAGATGGACATATTTCAAGGATGAGTAGCCATGAGTAGCCATGCTGGGATGCTAAGTTTAGCCACAGGAAAAGAAAGCAACTTATCGAGACCGGAGAGCAGGAGACTAGGAGCACAGCAAAGGCGCATAGCAAGGAATTCACCTGTAGGCAGGACCTACAGCCTGCCCGGGGTCAGCCTGGGTAGGGTCTGGTGTCCCTAGCCCTGAATCCAGGCCCACCCCGACAGGCCCTGTTTGATAGAACAGTGACCCCAGGTGGGATGGATCCCTGGCTGTCTCCGTCTGCTTGCTGGCAAGTGCTTGCTGTGCATTCCAAGTTGCATGGGGACGCCCACGTTCTCCCTTTCCCCTTCTACACAGCTCAGTCTTTTATGTCCTGTGGCTCCATGACAAGCAGCATCTGATGCTGTAGTTCGTTTCCATCTGAGGATTCCTCAAGGACTCCTCTGGCAGGCGGGTGCAGACGGATTGGCTGTCACTAAGATGTCTTCAACTTATTAAAAATTAAATGACAAATTAATTTCCATTCCCATCTTGGCTTCAGAAATTATCAGTGTTGCAGAGCAAGTAATAGGGAAGAAAGTGTGTGGTGGGGGAGGAGATGAGCGCTCGTGGTTTCTGGAATAATTATGGTGCTTTTAGGAAAAGTGTAGATGAGGTTTCCTTTTTCTGATTCCTTTCTAAATGTATCAGTAGTGAATTCTCTTTCCGAGAGCTACTGTTTTAATTTTTTTTTTTCCTAAGCGTAACTTTCTGGATAACTTTTTCTTTCAACCTTTGCTTGTTTATTGTATAAGGCAGAGTAAATGATAATAGGATAAAAGGCTAGGCATGGAATTAGTTTTAAATGACACCGTCTTGTTTCCCTAGAGAAAAATTTTAATGGAGGAACATCTTTGCTCAGTAACACTTGAATTACAGGCTAGTGGGTAAAAGTGCAAAATGCGGGATCTGACAAGTAAGCTTTGAATCCAGGCTCTGTACAAACTCTGTATAAGCCTGTGGCTTCATCATTCTGCACCTTACTTTCTCTCTCTATAAAATGGGAGAGTTACTAGCAGCTCTCATGAGATTGTCAGGAGGCTCCTAAGGGATTGTGCTTGGTGAGCCTGGCCCAGGACCTTGACAAATATTAGCTGCTCTCAGGTTCGCCTGTCTGATTAAATATTCTGTCTACACTACTACACTATGAAAATTCCCACCTTCCTTCCGCCTCTCTCAGAAGCAAGTAAGGCCTTGCTCAGGAATCCTACAGGGTCAAAGTGGAGCTTTTCCCCTCCTCCCTTCATTTACCCAAAAGCACATTGGAGGCCACAGTTTTGGCTTCTTGCTTTGTGAACCAGAAAACATGAACTCTGGACAATAATGCAGAGGAGTGTGGTTTTAATTACTTAGAACAACCAAGGATGGTGTGTGCATTGACACTCCAAAAGGGGTAGCATCTGTTATCTCTTTTCAAGGCCATGGGGAAGGGCTGGTAGTAGACTTGGAGGAGAAGTGGCCACAGGTAGGGAGAGATGACTAGATCATCAGCGAGCCAGGCATGTCAGTTATTGGAAAAGAGCTAAGGCAGGAACCAGGGTTCTGTGAAAATCCTGTGTCTCGTTCTGGGAGAGTCTCATAGGGAGAGCAGACAGTGTTACCCAAAGCCTATTTCACAGAACAGTAATTATATGGTGCCAACATGTGATTTTTTAACCCCTCCCCCAATGTTTTAGGTCATAGATAGCTGGAAACCAGGTTAAGTAGCTTTAAACAAATGTCCTTCTTGTGGAACTTCTAGAAGCTTTTGACCCACTACCATCAATTGAAACTCTCCAAGTGGATGAAGATAGGAATATACTATACAGCTTTAAAAAAACCTGGTATCCTCTGTGCTTTTTAGAAGGCATTTTACTGGTTTGGCATTATGCAGAACACATCTCAGAACATGCAGGTAAACAGTAAATATTTGTGGGGGTGCGGGGTAGCGAAGTGGTCAGACGATGATGGTATGTTTGCCAAAGGTGGTATGACCACCAGGAAAATAGGGCTTAACACAGAAGGTAAGGGTGATGTGTACACATGGAAGGTTCTCTGAGCTCACAGAAGAAATCTGGTGAGGGACGAAGGCTTTGGGAAATTCAGTTATGCTAACTGAATGCCTGCATCATTGCCTCAGATTTGGGGCACCAAGCCTTCTCTTTCCTCTTCTCCTAATCACAAATCAAGATATCCTAGTTAGTTGGTAGCATACGAACTCCAAACAGAAAAAGAAATCCCTGGCAGTAATGATTTTGAAATGCCCCTGAAGGTTTCTGAGATGGAGATATTTGGATGAATTTTCCAACCAGCGGTCTGGGCTGCACAAGCTCCCTGGGCCTCTTACAACCCTAAGGTCCTCAGAAGAGCAATCCAGAAACCTAGGCTTTTAGCCAACTTCTCTAAACATGAAAAAGACACCTCTCCTACTGTTGGAAACAGAAAATAGTGCGATACTCCTTGACCTGAGTGATTTTTTCCTGATAAATAGCTACGTCTACAATAATGCAGTGCTGAATGGTGGACAATTTATTCCTTAGTTTCCAGACACCTCACAAGCAAGATTACTGTGTTAAAAGCCTGCTCTCTTATTTTGAAATATATTTTGGGGCCAAGAGAATGGCATGTTCATTTCATTTGTGAGTCATTCCAAGGCAGGTGCTCCCCACCTCTCTATCCACCCCTCGGCAGAGCAGTACTTTTGCTGTCTCTATTTAGAAGATCAATCCCCAGTTCTGAGACCTGCTGCTGATGGGTGCCTTTTACAGAGTTATTAACCAAGTCCCAGGGAAGTGTGAAGGGCCTGACAAATGTAGTCATGACCAGAACCCTTCATCTTCCTGGTGAGTCCACTCTGAATCTCCGGGAGGCTCTGTGCCAGCAGGGTGGGGGTCAGAGCACAGACCTGTGCCTCAGTGGCTGCTAACCTCATCCTCAGCACCCTTCTTGAAATCTGGCTTTCATAAGAAAAGGTCCCCTAGGAGCTGGCTGCTTTTATGGCCTCAGAACCAGAGCTTCTGAGAAAAGGTCTCGTAGGAAAAAAAGAAAAAAAAAAAGGCAAATAAAGTCAGAATAAAGGAAAATAAACAGCTGGAGGGAAGGCTCCGTCTTAGGTTTCTTATCTTAAAATTTTTATATTTCTCCTTTGACTTCTCTGAGAGCTGTGAAGACATGTCAGTCAAACTGACAGGGTGTTGGAAGAGGAATATAAGGGAGAAGGCGGGAGAGCAGGGGGATACGGGGGGGGGGGGGGGGAAGGCCCAGGCCAAAGAAAATGAATTAGAGCAAAGATGCTTTAGAAGCAACTGCCAGGTCAGATGGGTGTGATCAAAGGTTTACTGATGCTGTGTGGGGAAAAAAATCATTAAGAAAGGCCAGAACAAGACAGTCGATTCCAACCAGAGCCACAAATAAAACACATTCAAAGCAGTGCCATGGGGTAGTCTTTCTGTTACAGCCCATGAAATAAAAAACAAGCCGATGATAGTTGGAAACACCAACAACAGAACAAAAGGAGATACCGATGTGAAGGAAAACAGTGCTTCTTACCCAGTTCAGTTATCATTAGAATGTGCGTCCCACTGTTTTTTTCCTGATTGACTGATACCAAAGGCAACTTGCCAGGTTTAGCTAATTGGATACAGCATTTAAGGGTTGGGGAAAGGGAGTGGAGGAAAGTACAGAAAAAGAAGAGCATGAGGGAATAACAGAGGACACATTGTAACGTAAGGGGACCCAGCACCATAGGTGGTTAGTATTGTCTTGGGGGGAAGAGACCACTCAGCAGCTTTGCAAATTCACAGATGGTAGGAGGGAATGCCATGGCTGGGTTAAAAGTTGGGTTCCACTGGCCTGTGATCATGGTCGTCCAAACCCCATCTTATTTTAGGCCAGAGTGGCATTAGCTGAGAAGTTCAACGAAAATAGATTAAATGCCCATTGTCTCCACCCAGTTCTCAGAATGGGTTTGGCTTAGACCTGAGGCTTTGTACCTCAGTGGAGGGCTCTGATTGCAGAAGCTGTCTGGAGGTGCTTCCAAGGAAAATCACCAGGAAGAGTCCATGGATTATGCCTTTCCTCCTTTCCTCCCCCTTCCCTAATTTATGCCCTAATCTCAAATCCATCATCTCAAGCTCCGTTGAGAACAGTGACCAGCATGAAGGAAACTGTCTATTCATCTCAGAGGAAAGATAGATCAGTTTTCCTTTCGGTAATCTGTCATATTGCTACCCATACCTCTCTTCACTCCCCGCCCCCCCCCCCCCCACCGCCAACAAGCCCTACTAGAGCCCTCTATGCTGAAGGAGCTAAGAAACAGACTACCCTCGTATCCTACATGGCTGGAAGAGAGGACAACAAAATCTGCCCAAAGCTGACATTCACCCCTACCTAGTTCAGTAATGATGGGGATGTTGACCCCAGTCGTGATGGATGGCTGGCGTAACATCCCGTGCACTGGGCTGTTATCTGGAGAGGATCTGTCCATTCCTGGAGGTGTGAACCCTAGTGGAAAAGAAAGAGAGAAGGGAGAAAAGTCAGAGACATGGAAAGCTTGGGAATAATATGAGTACAACATACATACACAATTAAAAAAAAAAGTAGTTTATGCATTATTTACAGGTCAACAATTGGCACTCTCAGGATAAACTCTGATGTGTTGCTTTTGTGAAGGACAAAGTAGGAGGCCATTATCAATAATTCTAACCTGCCTTGATAGCTCCCTAAAAATGAGTCTCTACATCAATTACTGCTCTTGCTCACAGATTTTTGTTCCAGGCAGACAAGAAGATTGTACCTCTGTGCCTCCATGTGACAGGAAATGCTCTAGCCCATGAAAAGTGAACAGAACAATGTATACCATTGCTTCTGGTACAAAGATTTGATTTTCTGCCTCCCATCCCAGACTGTGGCAACCATGGGAACATGGGTTCCTATAGAGAGGAAGGCTGGGCAGCAGCCCTGGACAGTAACCCAGACTGTCTGAGTGAGTAACCCAAAGCATTCTGAGTGAGTGAAGAGGTGATCTCTGTTGCTTGAAGACACTGGGGATTGTGGTGGTGGTGTTACTACAGCACAATCTAACCTACCCTGACTATTACGGTAAACCAACTGATTACTTATTCTCTTGCCAGTGAGGGACTCAAGCCGGGTTTTTGACAGATTCTCGTCAAAGGGAAGTGGGAGGAAATCTGCTTGGGGACTTTTAGGAAGGGTTTCCCTGCTCTTAAAAAGAATCACACAGGAAGAGATTGTCTTTTAATTCACTGGGCATTGCTCTCGTACCTGTGGTGCCTGGAATTGTGGCAGCCATCTTGCAACTAGGATGGGCACCAGCTGAAGACAAAGCCAGCTTAATGAGATTGGCTGAACAAATGATGGAAAGACTTAACAACAGAAAGATCTATCCTTGAGGGAGCACCTGGGTGGCTCAGTCAATTGAGCATCAGCTCAGTTTTCGGCTTAGGTCATGATCTCAGGGTCTTGGAATTGAGCCCTGCATTGGGCTCTGTGCTGGGCATGGAACCTGCTTGGGATTCTCTCTCTCTCCCTCTGCACCCCCCCTACTCTCTCTCTCTATCACAATCAATCAATCAATCAATAAAATAGAAAGAACAATCCTTGAGTTACTGAATTAAATAGACTTAGAGCCCAAACCAACTGACCTCAGGATTTCTTACTACATGAGACTTTATATACAGTATATACAAATGAGATTACAATATACACTATGATAATGAGATTATGTATATATTTTATATATATAATAATTATATATATGTATATGTACATATACATATATATTTTCTTATGGTAAAAAATCCTGAGGTAGGATAGATTGGTTTTGTACACACACACACACACACACAATTTTATAAATATGTAGCTGATTCTTCCACAACACAGGTTTGAGCTGTGTGGGTCCACTTATATGCAAATTCTTCTTGATAAATATAATGCAGTCCTGTAAATGTAATTTCCTTATGACTTTCTAAATAACATTTTCTTCTCTCTAGCTTACTTCATTGTAAGACTATAGTATATAATACACACAACATACCAAATGTAGTTTCCTCGACTGTTTATGTTTATCAGTAGGGCTCCCGTCACCAGGACGTTATTAACAGTTAGGCTGTGGGGACTCAAGAGTTATACATGTATTTTCAACTGTGCAGGGGGCTGGCACCCCTCAACTCCCCCATTGTTCAAGGGTCAACTGTATATATTTTTCTTTTTGTGTAAGCCCAAATGAAGAATTTTCTTTTCTTTTCATTTGAAAAAGAAGTCCTCCTGACTACTGCATATGCCCCCAGCTTGTCGCGGGTCCCGGAACCCCCTGGCATGCCGAACACGGACCTCATATGGTAAATGCGGGCATAGGAACTTGGAAAGTAGCCTACTTGGTTTCTGATTTTTGCTGTTTGAGCTTCTCAGACCCAAATCCCAAGCACATATTAGAATGAGCTTGGCCCAACCACAACTTCAAGGCTGAACGGCTGCCTCTTTAAGGATGAGCATAGAGACCTATACACATGAGACATTTATTTACCTCATATATTCATTTGGCGAAAATTAATTTTATCAAGTGACGCACCTGGCAAGTGCTACCATCAACTCTGTGCCGGCTGCAAGACCCAGTTTGCTCCTGACCTTAGCACACAGGCAGACAGATGTTCACATTCACTTTGGTTTCCCTTCTTTGTCCTTAGGGGATTGGCTACGTGGGCTTATCAGTGAATTAAGGACTTGCAGATACAAAGTCACTTGCTAAGTTTCCAAGGATGAAATTCCAAACAGACCGTGAGGCCAGATCCCTGACTTAGTCTCCAGGAATGTGGCGATGTTGGATTGATTCTGCTTTACAGTACGTGTAAAGCTCCATCCATCAGGAATGAAATGACAGGTGTTCAATAATTGCCTGTTGTTTTCGAGGTGCATAATGCATGAAATGCCAGCAAAATATAAGAAGGTCTTCCTATTTTCTGCTCTCCTGTGTATAAATTTCATACTATTGAACGCCATACTTTCAGAAAGAAAAGTTTTATTTACTGTTCATTCTCTGATTGCCATTAATTTTATTCTTTGTGTTGATATGCTGTGCACAGGGTAAGTAATGTCGAGTGACAGTATAATTCTAAACTTTGGAATGTGTATTTTTCAGCCAACCACATAACCAAGAACACTCATTTTAAATGCTAGCTGTTTTCTTCCCCAGAATAGCGAAGGGGAAAACTAAACTGTTTTCATCAGAAGTTTCATTCAAAAGCATGAAAAACTACAAGTGACAGCTGTGCAGATTTGGTGGCTATGACGTTTTTGAATTTCTTCAACTTGACAAGTAAACACCTTAAATCGGTAATGCTATATGCATAATACATGGCCTGTATTTTGACATCCATCATCAAATGCTGACTTGAGAAAATACGGGTTTGTATGTCAAGGAATAGCACCCATAAAACAGGGAGAAATGCAGGTCACACGGTATTAGGAAAACTGTATTTCATTACAGAACCTGCAACAAGCCACAGCATCCTTTTATTTTATCTTATTTAAAGATTCCATTTTCAGCTGTGAAAAGACTCAACTCCTTTGCATGAAACCTTCATTTAGAAATGACATGCTTGCCTCATAGGTCTATTTCATTTTGCTTTCATATTCCATTTTCCCCTTCAGTCGCCAAGCCTGGTTCCATTAGCATCTGCAACTGACAAACTACGGTGGGTGTCCAAAGACATCTCTCCATTAAAAGTCCCTTCTCTCTCCTATGCATGACCCCAAGAACAGGGTGCTTTTGTTGGCAAGAAAACTTCAGCAATGATAATATCTCTTTCTCTTTTGCTACTTTTCTAGCTACATATTGTTCAAAGCAAAAGGCAGAGACAGAAGAAGTAGATTTCATCTTTTTGTTTCCTCCCCCCTTCCTATGGAGTTGTGTTAAAGATGAACAGAATTCATTAACATTGTTTTCTTAGAGGTCCTAATATGGGAAAACCTGTAGTTTGAAAGGACAGGGCTGACCCAGATTCCCTAAATGGCCTTGGAGAGCAGAGAAATGCAGGCGCCTTCCTTCAGAAGAGACGAGGCACTCTGGCCCTTGATGGCATTGACCCTATTCGTCACAGCTGCAGTTGATAAAGGGGCAGTTCCAAATTGTGTCCAGGTTTCCCAACTGTCTTACTCCCCACCCCATCATTGTTTGCTGCAGTGGATACATCTTTGGTTGAACTTTAAGTCTCTCCACATAAAACAGCACTCTAGTTCTGCACGTAAGAGCACAGTCACATGAAATATACTCCAGGGATCATAATCTACAACTGGAGAATGGTGAAACTGGCAAACTCTCCTTTCATTAGTTAAACTAACACTGGAGAAATTAATTTTAGAAAACAAGCGCTTATTTGGCCAGGAAAGAGGACTAAGAATGTTGGCATCTGAGAGAAAGGATGAGAAGTTCTTAATCAGGAAAAGATTCAAGCTCAATCAATCTTACCAAATTGGTCTCCTGATTCTTTACATGTGTCCCCATTCTCTCTGTTGAGCATGGCCATAGGCGGTAAGTTTGGGGCTAAAAATGACTTCCAAAGATTACATGATCTTGCTAAATTGAAGGCCCCTCCCCATTCCAATCCTCAGGGGCAGATGTGAGGGGCTTATGTTACCTTTCTGTTCTTTTGGCATTAGGCATAAATGGTCCCAATATTGCCCCCCTCCTAAGCATGCTCACTCCACATGCTGTATGAGAACTTTAGGCCAGAGACGGAGTTTTCTTTTTTTAAACTTCCTAGATTGTCTTTAGAATGCCCACCCACAGAGAAGAAATGGAGTAGATAGTTAAAAGTATGAACTCTGAAGTCAGATGTCTTGGGTTCTAATTCTGATTCATTTACTTACGAGCTACATAACTATGAGCGCAGCTCTGACTCTCTGTAAGCCTCTGCTACTTTGTCTATAAGCTGGAAGTATTTCATACATAGGGCAATTGTAAGGATAAAATGAAACCGTGTATTCAAAACATTTAGTATAATGCCTGGTATAAAGCAAGTACACAAAAATTTGACTACGGATGATAATACTTCACTAGGTACACAATAAATATTTGTGGATAGGTATAGCATCCATCACCACTTCTTCCCTATGGATAAAGAATTGAGGAAGCCTTTGGCATATTTTTTAAAAAGAATTTTCACGTAGAGTAAACCCTAGAAAATTAATGGTAAGGCAATGAGCACTGTGAATCCATTCTGGTAGGAATAATCAGATCACTTCAGTGATAAAAATGAATTTCAAAATATCTAAGGAACAAAGATTTTTGCATAGGGAGATGGTTAGGATTTTCTTTAGGTATGTTGAAAACTGGGGCCAGTTGTTAAGAAAGACTAAGAAAGTCTCTTAATTCCTTATAGCAACTGCAGAATCTCTCTGGAGCCTTCTTTTTTCAGACCTGATCTCCCACTACTCTTGATTATTTAGGGATATAAAACTTCCTTCTTGAGTTCCAAGGCTCC